AGCCCACTTCATCGGATCCGATGAAGTGGGCTGTAGTCCACGAAAGCTTATGCTCTAAGAAATTTGTTAGTCTCTAAGGTGCCACAAGTACTCCTGTTCTTCTTTATTCAAATGAAGTGGCTCATCATGGAACACTTAACTCACAATGGACCATGGAAGACGCTTATCTACACTGAATGGAGTTTCCTGCCACGACTAAGCGAAGTCATGCGTGGACATGTGACTCGTTCATGTGACTCCAAACTCCATCCTTTACCTGTAATTTTCCACTAGCTGTGCTGAGGGCTTTGTTTGAAACAATGGATTTCCCTGCACATGGCAGAAGCTATAAAAGGTGCTGGCTGGAAACATCTCCATTTTGCCTTTTTCCTGCTCAAACCTCTGGACTATGAACTTATACTAATGGGAGCATTCTAACCAAGGGACTGAGGTCCTTCCAATGATTTGGAAGCAACCAGAGACTTGACTTAAGCTAGCAGTTTATTCCATCACTGCTATAAACCTGAACCAAGCATCCGAAGAAGTGGGCTGTAGTCCACGAAAGCTTATGCTCTAATAAATTTGTTAGTCTCTAAGTTGCCTCAAGTACTCCTGTTCTTTTTCGGATACAGACTAACACGGCTGCTACTCTGAAATTTGCAATTACTGTATGTGTTTGATTCCTTTAACCAATTTTAACTCTCACCTTTCTTTCTTTTCCTTTCTTTTTATAAATAAACTTTTAGATTTTAGATACTAAAGGATTGGCAACAGTGTGATTATTGGGTAAGATCTGAGTTATATATTGACCTGCGTGTGTGGCTGATCCTTTGGGATCAGAAGAACCTTTCATTTGATTAAATTGGTTGTAAAAAACCACTCAACTTAAAGTCTAGTGTTTTTGGTGGTGACTCAAGGACTGAAATGCCTAAGGAAACTGCTGTTCTGACTTCTTGTTAGTCAGTGTGGTGAAACAGAAGTTTATTTTTATTGTTGGATTGGTATATCTTAAGGGAGAATCAGGGCCAGCTCCAGGCACCAGCTTGGCAAGCAGGTGCTTGGGGCGGCCACTCCGGAGAGGGGCGGCAGAGTGAAGGACCTCCCACCGAAGTGCCGCCGCAGATCAGGATCGTGGCTTTTTTTTTTTTTTGGCTGCTTGGGGCGGCCACTCCGGAGAGGGGCGGCAGAGTGAAGGACCTCCCACCGAAGTGCCGCCGCAGATCAGGATCGTGGCTTTTTTTTTTTTTTGGCTGCTTGGGGCGGCCAAAACCCTGGAGCCGGCCCTGGGGAGAATAACCACCAGTTTTGGGGTGTATCTGCCGTATTTCTCAGTAGTTTGTCCTGAATTTGGTATTCTCAGTTGTGACCCACAAAGGCAGGGTTACAGATGTTTACGGCTTTCTTCATTGCCCTATCTCAGATCCCCTGAGATCTGCAGCAGCAGGGTCATACCTTCCTACAGACCTCATGCAGACTGAGTGAGGAAGGACTGGTTGAGGAGAGATGGTTTGGGCAGTGTGAAGGTATATGGAAAGGGACACCATTCCTTTGGGGTCAAAGGCCTGCAGCTGGCTGATTAGCCCCACCTGCTGCATCTGAGAAAACAGCTGGAACTTAATTATCTGACACTTACAAAAGAGGGCAGCAGGAAAGGGAGGGTGGAGATGGCAACGCTGTCCAGAAAGCTGAGGAGTCAGGAGCAGGGCCGGCTTCAGGGGCAGGTGACCACTTGGGTGCCAGACTCAGAGGTGCCGTTTTTGTTGCTAGTGAGAAAAGGGAAAATAGAATGGTTGAAGTAAAATGTTTCAAGTATTCTGTATGTGGATTCATTTTTTATAAACTTCCTAGAATGTTCTGGACCTTTGTAGAATCTTGTGGAATCTTCCAGACTTTGAGTACTATATTTTCTTCCATTTTCCTGAAACCTTCTAGAATGTTGTCAGCCATCCCTTGTGGGTATATGAGGGGCAAGGTATCGCCAGTCAGTCATTGAGATATAAGAATGAAGTGAAGTGAGAGCCCAGCTGCTGCAATATTGTGAAGTTTTATATATATATATAGTGCGATATTAAAAAGTTTAACAAATAGATGAGGGGCGGGGCAGCATGCCAAAGATGCTTCTTGCCTGGGGTGCCATTTGATCTAGGGCTGGCCCTGGCCAGGAGCCAGGCTCTCAATAGATTGCTACTGGAGCTACTGCTGAGATGAATTGCTTCAGAAGCCTAATGGACAGAAGGGGGACGCTGTGATGTCCTTTGTTGCTGAGGCTCTGAGGTAAGAGCCAGTAAATTTTGGGTTGCTGAAGTTACTGGTGTGAGGGACAGACTCGGGGAAGGGACTTTTCAGCCTGCACAGGCTTTTGAGGGAAGAGTCTGTGAGGTGTGTGTGTGTGGTTTTTTTTTTTAAAGAAGGCTTAATTTAAAACAACTAACCCCACTGGAAACTGCTTCCCTGGTTTCCTTGAGTGAGCTCGGGCAGATCTGCCTCAGGGAGTGAGCTGGCTCAGCAAGAGCAAAACCTGGCCCAATGGGAGGAGGGCGCTATAAGACAGGCCCAATCCTTTGCAAGTGGGAAGAGACCTTGTCCTTCTTTTTCCTATAAACTGTTAGAGCATTGCAGGAGGTGAGAGTTACCTCCTGAACCTTTCGATGGAAAAAATATTTTTTCCATTGATGAGCCTCCCTGGCAATCAGTTGGTATTTTAAACTCAATCCTCACATGGAAAGGGACTAGAGATTTATTTTTAAGAGAGCTTACAACTTCATAAATCCTTTGATGGCCAACACCAAGATCACCAGAGCTTATTACTCATGTTACTAATAAAAATGTTAATGTTTGTAATTCTATATTAATCAACTTAAGTTTGGGTCTGGGCTCTAGATTCCAGCTAGAATGGAATCCAGCAAAGTTGCTTCTATCCTTCCCTTCCATTCTGGGTTTTATTGTTTTTGCCACACAGTGGCAAAAAAAAAAAAGTGAGAATTTGGGAGTTGTGTAAATTTATCTATTTTAATATAACCTTTTATTTAGAAAGTAAAAACATTTTACAAATCATTACCACATAAGTACCAAAATGCAATCTTACTAATTTTTAGGCTGAGAAGTTGTGTTAAATCGAGCCCAAAACTCAGGGCCATCACCATCAGTTACACAAAAAAAGAGTGATGGTTAATCTTCCTAGAATCATGCCGGGGCCATCCATGCATTGGCAAAAGGGGCATGCATGAGACCAAAGGGTTAAGTGTGCTGTCCCATACTACTCTCAGCTTCTGCCAATAAGAGAAATATTTGGACATCAAACTCTGATTCCACCATTGTGGCAGTGTGTTGTGTTGAGATCAGGCTGGCTGCTACTGAGAGTAATATTTTAACTTTTGCAATACAAATTTTCCCTGGACTTACAAAACTTTTTGGGTGTTTGTGAAGATTATGCAAAAAATCAACATTTCTCAAAAACCTGCTCAGTAAACTGACAATTTCTGGCTATGCAGTAAAGGAATAAAAGTTGAAGATAAAATTGGTTTGGAAGAAGATAGGTTGTTTGCCTGAAATTTAATTCCCTGTGATTGATTTGCCAGGGATCAGCTACATGTTCCCAGCAAATCAACAAGAAATATTATACCAGTTTATCCCCTTAGTAATTCGACTGCATACTACAACTGCAAGAAATTTTGGGCACAAAATCATCCTAGGTTTGCAACTGGCCTGAGTTCAAGAATCTTATTCCGTGCTCATGAAAGTTCAGGGAACATGGACAAAAAATTTTCATACAGATGTAAAGCTGGCAAACCTCCCTCATCAGTGTTGGCCTCCTTTGTTTCATCCCCATGAACACCTGTAAGACGATGACATGCTGTATAAAGAGAAATTGAGGCTATGGGGATAAGAGCTGGTGGTTGTGAGTTTCCCACTTGTTGCCTAAACTTGAATCTCAAAGTGAAGTTGCAGGATAAGGTTCACTATCAACCTTTGCAAATCAACTGCAGGGTCTAGTTTCTGAACGGAACCATGTGAGACTATTACAGGGCTACTCCATATCTTTGCTTTACCACAAATCCTATTGCTTCGTGTTACCACAATTAGGGTATTCATGGGTATTCATTCCCTGCCAGGAATGATAAGGATTTGCTCAAGGACTTTTCAGCCCAATGTTAGTTCTGTCTGGAACTGCGTTATGTATGTGCTGACAAAAACTAAACCCGATACTATTGCCATGAAGGATTTTTCTTTTGGGAATTTAATTTTTTTCCAACCTGGTAGTTCAACACTCATCATGTTCCTGCCAAAAATCATGTGTTTGGTCCCCTGAAGCTGTATCTTGTCTGTATCTGCCCCTGTCTTTATTAAATCTCAGTTTTTCTCCATTACATTTGTCCTGCTACTCAATGACTCTGTAAACAGTATATGACCATCCATTCTCTAAATCCTGCCAGGAATAATTTAGTGTTATTCACTTGGAATTCAAAACAAGATTTTCCTTCTTATGAATTACATGTATGTCCTGCCAGGAATCTCATATGGTAAGTATATCTGGCTAAGATCCAAGCCTTTCTGTATGTTTGTGCTGTCAAGAGGAGGCCATGTGGTCTAGCTCAAAGGGCTCAGGGGTCCCAAAGGACTCTGGGTACTAATCTACACTGAGATACTTGCACACTGAGTGACCTTAAGTCAATGTTTGACTTCCTTGTGCCTCAAGTCAGCCCTGCCAGAAAACAGCATGTCAGGTGATGGGGCCTGCTGGATTAATTGTGCGTGTGTGTGTGTTAGGTATTTAACTAACAAAATGATTCATGGATATTTGCCCTGCTGTGAAGTCAATTCCTTATGTATCCTACCAGATAAGTATATCTGGCTAAGATCCAAGCCTTTCTGTATGTTTGTGCTGTCAAGAGGAGGCCATGTGGTCTAGCTCAAAGGGCTCAGGGGTCCCAAAGGACTCTGGGTACTAATCTACACTGAGATACTTGCACACTGAGTGACCTTAAGTCAATGTTTGACTTCCTTGTGCCTCAAGTCAGCCCTGCCAGAAAACAGCATGTCAGGTGATGGGGCCTGCTGGATTAATTGTGTGTGTGTGTTAGGTATTTAACTAACAAAATGATTCATGGATATTTGCCCTGCTGTGAAGTCAATTCCTTATGTATCCTACCAGAGACACTTACGTTAGATTTATCTTGACAAGAGATCAATACTTTGTTGCTCAAAATCATACACTGTACTGGTGTTCTATTAGAAAATCAACCCACACTCGCATGTCTGCCCTTCAGACATTTGGATTCCATATTATTTGTCTTTTCTCCTTTTCGGATTCCTGGGAGGACAATGTAACTTATTTTTCTACTCTGAAATTCAACACTTAAAATACTATTCTTTATTATTATTATTATTAAACATATGCCTTTTTTAAAATAATCTGGTTTAACGATTGCTTTAAAAATTCAATTAGCTTTAGCAAACCTTTTTGTGGGATG